GACTCTTAAGAGTCTTCTCCAACACCACAGTTCAAAGGCATCAATTCTTCGGTGCTCACCCTTCCTTATGGTCCAGCTCTCACAGCCATACATTCATGGCTTCATTGAGTTATGCAAGCCCCTTCGCCACGACATGGCAGTGATCCATGAAGAGGGAATAGCGATCATAACTGGGCTTAAACAGGTCAGTTGAAAACCTTGGGCTGTATTTGCATAGCTTGCAAAGCCTGGCTAATTTTAACCTTGGGAAGATTGCTTTTACTAGCCCAGTGCTCTTAATTAGCTTATCATTCAATGTATAGCTTGAAATTAGCAGAGGGGCTAATTCAGTGAATAAGTCAGACTTGTTATATGAACACAGCCTTAATATTCTGGGGGAAGGGAGAGCTGCAGTGAGCAGTGCCACATCACACACATGAGGTTAAACCTATTTCAGGACTTAACAGTTCTGCCTTCTATGTTCCCACTTCAGTATAGTGAGAAAACTGCTGTTGGTTTTTGACAATGACAGTCAGAAGTTTAGCCCATGAGCAATACTGCACAGTAGTGTCAAACTTCCTAAATTATTCAACAATATTGTTGAGCCAACTCAGAGGCTTCACCATGGAATTTGTCTTTTAACTCCTTTGACCAAAGGGAACTCGCTTAAGGGGCTGAAGTTTTAACGAATTTATTTTATTGTCTTGTTTCTCGTTTTTAGAAAGGTATAAGGCTACCCAACTAATTCACCCAGTAGTTTTGGGAAATGGCTGCTTTTGGTGTGTCATGTTATGTTTACTTATTCTTTTTGGGTAGAGATGGGCCAGATTGTCCAATCAGGAGGGTAATGGAGCATTGCTGATGGATGACTGGATTGAATGATGAATGATGTTAAGTGTTGTAATAGTGCTGCCATAAGGGCAGAGCTGTAATTTGGGTCTGTTGAAAGGTTTGGTTTATATTCTTTGTTTACTTCTGTCAACCAAGAATATTGAAGAGATATGAGAAACTAATGAATCCAACCAGAATGGACTGACTCCAGTGCCACCTAGCTACCAACCTATAGTATGGCACTATCCATGCAAAGCAGGAGAACGAATACAGAAGAACAGTATAGCATTTGAGCCAAAGTTTGTAGTGAAGTATAAAGAATGACTTCACCCAATAATTTCCCAACAAAGCTATTGAAATAAAATATTCAGCAGCTTTGCTTGGTCACTGTATTCTGACTGTCTGCTCTCTTTACTCCCCAGAGACCAGCAAACCCATCGACCCCTTCACTTATGGTGAGTGATGCTATAGAAAGGTTGCAGGTGTTGGCCTACGTGGGTGGAAGGAGGTGTGGAGTTTCTTCCTTCAAGAAATGAAGAAATGTGGCATGGCTTGGGGTCATGGGTGGGGAATCCAGGCTGTCCTGATAGGAGTATGCTGGAATGGTCCTGAACGTCTGACTCTTGAACCTCCATATCTCCCTTCCAGACTATGATACATTGCGCTTGGTGGGGATGATCCTGGCCACCATCATGTTTGTGCTGGGAATCTTGATAGCACTGAGTGAGTCGCCTCTTCTTGATGCTTGCATCTTTTGTGCTTGCTTGGATCTGACTTTGGCTGGCCCCTACAAATCCCATCCTGAGTTCTTCTCTCCTTCCTCTGTCTATCTGTTCCTGGATTCCCTGGAGAGACACCCTATTTTGTGGATGTACGTATGGGCGCATTTAGGAGTCCGTTCTGCAGACTCATTGCCGAAACGCCAAAATGTTGCCCAGCGAAATGTAGAGACTCTTTCTTTTTTGCTTCTCATTAAAAAGATGTAAAGTCAAATCTTAGAGTGCTGACTTTTGTTTTTTGCACTCTCAGTCTTACGGTGCCCCCTGCTCTCTTCCTCCCTGAATTCTGTAGATATGAGTGCATGTGCCTATGTCCACACCCCCAATTTATTTTCCCCACCCCGCATCTCCAGATTGAATACCTGAGCCATGTTTCTTCCCGTCTCACTCTGCCCCTTTCTCTTTTGCAGGTAAAAAATTCAAATGCAAAAAATCAGACCCTGGGTAGGTACTTTCTGGCCTCTTCCTTCCTTCCTCCTTTCTCTCCCTCACCCCAGTTCTCCTGCCCCTGGATATTGTTCCCTTGGCCCTTCTTCACTGACTCCCTTTCTGTTTCTTCCCCTCTGCAGACTGTCAGACCCCAGGGCGACAGGCAAGAGTCCCAGTAAGTGTTGCAGCACTGGGGAGAGGAACACCCAGGCAAAGGGGGCCCTCACTGGCATGCTTGTATAATCCCTGTGTAATTTTAGCTGGGTTGGTGTTAACATTGCATGGTTCATCTGGATTCTAAATGGATGCAAAACTAACTGAAGGGGAAGCATTCACACCATGTGCAAGTTTAGCATCATACAGAAATGGTAAAGCTGTAACCTAGTTAAGTGTGTTGGGTGAACATACACTAGTAAGTAAGTAAATGCTTTATTGCTGTAACCATAGGTCATAAGAAGCTAACTTAGAATAAATACAATAGAACAGAATAAGAGTAAAATAAAGTAATAAAGAGTGTTAGGTACAAAGAGGTCAAAACACGATAAAGGCGGGACTACAATAAAGAATGGAAAGAAAAAATATTTCTGAGTTTAAATGGTGATAAAGCAAAAGTAGCATCCTGATTACTAACAGTTGGAAATCCCTCTGCAAGAAGATAATTCAGCTGTTTGAGCTCTGAGCCGTTGAATTCACCCACCATCAATAGTTTGGCCCTAATCTCCTTGTAAATGGGGCAGTGGAGGGCATAGTGAATAATGTCCTCCATTTGACTGGCACCACAGGAACAGAGATGATATTCAACAGGGAGCTCCCAAAATCCCCCTTCAAGTTATGCCAAAGGCATGGCCTGCACATGAAGAGATGTAAAAGTGCTGGAAATATTAACCAGTTACCGGGAGAGGCTTCTATGTCTTTTACAGTGATGAAATCAAGGTGAACCTTTGGATGTCTGTACTACAGTAGCATCTCTATTGGCATTGCTTTCAAAAAACCTACCTCTGGCTGGTTTCTCTGTTCCAGGAGCTGAGTTCTCCCGAAGGGAAGGGAGGAACGCAAAACAAGCATTCACTCTTTACTTGGGTGTTTTTTTTTTTACTCCTTAATCATTTCTACTTAAAAGTAACCCAGGTGTTCTACCGTAACCACCCTTTTTATTCAACAGGGGCTGGGTTGGGCCCTCGTGTTGATGTGAGGTGATCTGCCCATCATACACTGAACTTTCCTCTTGCAGAGAAAGTCAGCCACTGGCTGGAGCGCCCACACCTGAAGTAACCTCCCACCCACCTGGGGTTACCATGGAGCTTCCTGACGTTGCCAGGAGAGCTGAAGACTTGATGGGGTGCTGTGGCAACAGGCAGCCCTGTTCCTGGAGGAGCTGAGAAGCCCGCAGGGAGAGTTGTTCGCAAAGGCTCCTGGGGGGTGGGACATCTCTGTTCCAGCCTAAAAGATGTGAGGTTTGGGGGAATGGAAAAGATGGGATGGGGAACAGAAAAGGAGGAGGAGAAGCATTTTTACAAGGTACCCCAAGTCTAAACCACCTGTGTGAGATGGGTGGCTATTTACATTCAATAAATAAAATAGAGCAAAAAAGAACTTGATTGGGAGAATTAAAAAAAAAAATCCCCCTCCTTTTTTCAGTGGCTTTTTTCAGTTGAAGTTTAACCAAGTTTTATTCTTCTGAACTTCATCCCCCCCTTTCTCTGTTCTGGGGGTGTTCCTCCCCAAGCGTTCACACATTTACTCTGTCTTCACCCTCACATCCTCCACTTTCTCCCTCCCCCTCTTTTTCTTTCCCAGCTCCAGCTGGCACCGTGTAGGCACCGTCCTGAAGACGTCCTGCTCCCGAGTGGCTGGCGACGAACCGCGCCCGGGACCTTTCTCCGGAGACCTTGGCACTGACTGCCCGGGAGGGGCTCTCCTGTCTAACCTTGAGGAGGGAGGGGCACTTTTGTAACCAGTTAGCTCTTGCGCTTCCATTGCATGATGGGAGCAGGCCACCCGGGTGGGGTTGGGGCACGGGACAGGCCACGGGGTGGTGCGGCCCATCTGCCAGTCAGTTTCAGCTGACCCCCCCTGCTGGGGGCTGGTTCTTATAATCACCCCCCCTCCCCTACACAAGGTCCCATTAAAATGCAATAATGCTGCCTGCTGCTGCTCTCTGGGAAAAGAAATCACCCAAACGCTTCCTCGCTGCTGGGCATAATATAACCCTCCATTGCTATTGCTGCTGCTTTGCTGTTTGAGCCTCTTGCTATGAACTCCATTAGCCACAAAGTGAGGTGGCGTAGTCCAAAGAGCCCCCCCTGCCCTCGTGGGAAACTACCCCTTTCTTGGAGGGGGGCCGTCGTAACCCGTGGAGCTATGATGGGTCGGGCTCCCAGAACTGGGATACAATATTACGGCTGTCCACTAGAGGGCGACAAAGCGAAGAGTTTTCGATATCTTGTCGCTGCCATCTAGTGATCCTGTAGGGATTTGCAGGCCAGATCTGGTAGTCCGAACAATGCGGGAAGAATTCTTGGAAGGGAAGGGTTGCTTTCTTGTCATATGGTCCTCTTCTGCCAAGGGATGCTGACCCCTGCTTCTCCATGTCACATCCACACATGGAGAAAAATTTGACCAATAAAAATTACAGGTTTTTTTTTAACGAATTTCTTGATTTGGTGATTTCTTTATTTTTACTCTGAGGAGCTCCCTGTTCCTTGAATCCCATCTCCGGCCTCTCTGGCAGGGTGAAGAAACTATGGCCCTCTAGCATCTCTCACCTTAGTTGTGCTGACGGGGTCTGCTTAAGATTGTAATTCTGCTTAATTTGGATATTTTTGCTCCATTTGCAAACCAGACGTTTAGCTCATATTATCTCTTGTATGGAGAAAATGGAACCCTTAAAATCCAAAGAACTTTTTCAGATATTAGAAAATGACCTCTTTCTGGTAGATTCCTCCTTGTATGAATAAACACAGCCAAAATTGCAGCTGTAGAATTATATTGCTCACCAAAGCTTCTGCTACCTGTTTTGGCAAATGCCCCACAGCCCCCCTCCCCCAAAACATAACTATGAATATCGATTGACTTAGAATATTTTTTTTAACATTTAGCTACAAGAAGGTAGAACAAAGGTCACTTCAATAAAATCAGAATACTTCAAAACTTTGTAAAAAGGTGACGTGATGCTTCCAACTGCACATCACATTATAAAGTAAAA